GCTGGAGGGCGGGAAAGTTGGCAGGGCTGGGAAGGCCCATCACCTGTGTGTGCAGGACGTTGGTGAGGCGAGGTCAGGCAGGAGAGCCCCAGCTGTGGTGGGGAGCTGTGCGCTGGAGCCAAGGCCCCTTAGGGACCCTGAACAGGGGCCAGAGGGCACTCGGGGTTGTTGGTTCAGGGCCCTGCCCTCCTTGTCAGGAAGAAGCCAGAGCTTGCCTTTCTTTTGAGAATGGAAAGGTGAGAATGGTGATGACAAAAGACACCTGTGTCAAATGAGGTCCTTGGGAAAATATACCAGTTCTGATGGTCCAGAGGGCAGGGGAGGGCAGGAGAAAGCATGAGGGATCGGATAGGTGTATGGCCAGGCTCGCAAATCATGTCCTTGTATTTCTTTCTGCCCAGGGCCAGCAACTAGGGCCACATGAGTTGTACAAAGCAAAGCTGGTTTCATGCCCCATGGACTTTGTTCCCACCCAAGTGGTAAGTCCCTTTGTGTGCATTGATTTGGTTTCCAAAGCACAAGCCTTTTAGCAAGTGCCAAACACCATGCTGGGTGCTGGTATTCAGTGGTGAACTGTGTAAACAGGGTACCTGGGGCCACCAAATAGCCTGGAGCAAAGGCCCCACCTCTCTGCGCCTGGAAAGATAAAGCCAAGGCCTGAGCAGGCAAAGTATGAGGAAGGTCAGACTTCCCCACGGTTCACAGAAACATGGCTCCATTTTTTTTTAAATATAGAGACAGAAAACTATGGCTCTACTATAAGAAAAATAACCTGACGTGTGATGATTGAGAACTGAGCAGGAGGTAGGAACAGAAGCAGAAATGGAAAGTGCTGTCCCTTTCAAAGAGGGCGGTATCACCGGTTCCACGTGGGAAAGCAGCCAGCAGTTGCCCGAGACTCCTATTTCCAAGAGAAGCCAGAAGCCTTGATTTTTTTGTGTGAATTCTGCCAATCCTAAATATTCACTCTATTTTTTTTAAATTATTTAAGCTGAATAAAATGTCTGCCGGCTGCTTTGATTGAAGCAGCCATTTTGTGAAGCTAGTCTAGAGGTAAATGAGATGCAATCAGCTGGTTATAATCAGCTCTTATGAAGTTGATGTTTCCCGTTGTGGCTGCAAAAATTAGTCTTCGATCTGTCAGGAATGAGGGTCAGAATGAGTCAAGATCTGAATCACAAGTCAACACGAGGACATTGGCCTCAGACACTGGGTATCCGGTTGCCATTACTACTTATTTCTGCTTAACGGCTTTTTAAAATAAATGTCTAGGATAATTAAAGGGAGGGTATCTACAGTATAGTTTCTTTTCTAATCTTTGACGTGAGAATGCAACTGACTAGAGACTTTCTACAAGGCCTGATGAGAAAATAAAAAGAAAAGATTCTTAACCCTGAGTGACAGCATGCTGTTGACAAAGGCACTCTTGGCTGTCCAGGGGACTGGCTGATTTTTATTTTTTATCTGGGATCCCTGAAGGGTGAGCACATATCTGATGGGGTGGCTGGTGCCTGACTGTGCTCCTTCCCTGCTTCCAGATTCAGGCTGGACAGACGATTTCTCAACTGCTCGCTTCATCCCAGCCCCTTCCTCCTTCCTCTGCTTACAGGGTCGACATCAGAAGCAAGTGGGATCAGAAGAGGACCGCTTTAGTTGTGTGTTTAGATTTAAATCAAAATAAGGTTGGAGGGCTTCCTTACAACAGAAGAGGCTCAGGTAGACATAGGTATGGGCCCCATATGTATGCTTTCTCGTAGCTCACCCTTTGCTGCAAAGACACTAACCTCCATCCTCATCTCATGTTCCTCACCTCTTCCAAAAACCATTTGAGGTAGCCTACAGGCAAAGACATGTATAGACCACAGAGCAGTGAGGTGACTGAGAAGAGTGAGTCAACTGCAGACAGAGACCCCAGTCTCTGCTAGTTTCTGACTACTTGGTGAATGACTCAAGGATCCTCTTGTTCCAGAGTTGCTTTAATCCTAATACTTTCCCAATCACCACCCAACACAAGATGCTTCATACTGGTTTCTTAAGTTCTCTGTCATGACTCTGCCTTTACTTCTCCGCCTTGTCATCTCTTTGCCAGGTCAGTTTTACCTGCCACTGGCGGGTCTGACTACTCTTCACCCTCCCAACCTTTTAGCAGGGGGGGGGAACCTTTTTCCTGCCAAGGGCCATTTGGATATTTATAACATCATTTGAGAGCCATACAAAATTATTAACTTAAAAATTAGCCTGCTACTGTTATATTTGGTCAAACATTTAATGAACTCACCCTAATGCCTTGGCAGGGCCAGAGCAAATGATTTTGCGGGCCTTATACAGCCCGCGGGCTGGACATTCCCCACCCCTGGAAAGTATCAAACTATCCATGAGGCCTTTCCCCTTCTCTTTCCTCAATCTTGCAATCAATTCTTTTCCAGATTTACATTTCATGAAGCTGCCTATCATAGGATGGGTTCTCTGAAAATAGACTCTAAGGTACAAACTATTGTGATGTAACCTGTTGAGATGAGAAACGTTCATTCGGTACCAACACCTGAGAAAGGAAGGGCAAGGACACAAGCCTGAGAGGGAGACTGTGGTGTGGAAGAGTTAGCTAGCTTGGCTGGCCTGGTGCAAATCTCTGGGGTGAACATCACCTCTGAGGCGTCCCACCTGGGGTTGGCTGGATTTGTTTGTTTGTTTTGTTAATCCTCGCCTGAGGATATTTTTCCATTGATTTTTAGGGAGAGTGGAAGAGAGAGGAGAAGACAGAAAGAATGTGAGAGAAACACATTGATTGCTTGCCTCCCACACGTACCCTGATCAGGGTCTGGGCCAGGGAGGAATCTGAAACCGAAGTACATGCCCTTGACCAGAATTGAACCCAGTACCCTTTATTCCACAGGCCGATACTCTAACCACTGAGCAAAAATGGCCAGGGCTCAGCTGGATTTTTATACCCTCACCTTGCTTAGTCTTAGATACAGACTGCCCTGAGAAGGGCATGACTTCTGCAGCTGAAGCAGATCCTAGCAAAGCTGGTGGGTGTGGCCGTCTGTTGGCCACATTCCCTAGTCCTTCTTGGAAAAGAGTTCTGGGCAGCACACCCCTATGTTCACCACACTGCTCCAGGCTAATCCTATTAAAATCCAAGAGTCCAGGGGCTTTAGCAACCCTGTAAGTGGACAAAATAAGTAATTGGTCCATTATGAATGTCTTCACACATCACTTCTCTCATCTCGAGCATCATGTTGCATATATGCTAGAAAGTGATCCTAATTACTTTATCTGCCTGAGTCTCTAGAACAGAGTTCCCAATCAGAGATCCAGAAAAAGTTAGGCTAGGATTTCTTAAGTCCTCAGAGCAAACAGAAGGATTCTGGGAAGGTGGCCTCCACAATGAGCAGCCTCTTCAACTTATCCTATTGTGCAGAATAAGTATTATGATATTTAAAACTTTGGAGTACAATGCTTTAGAATCATTCAGTCACTGATCATGTATTTATTGGATATCTATTCTGCATCAGACACTAAGCTAACCATTGGTGATAGAGTGGGAAATGGGTCACATAAGGTTACTGTCATTGACACTCAGGCTAGTGGAAAAGAAAGATTGAACAAGTACACACAGAAACATAATGAGAAACAGTAGGCCCTGGAAGGAGTGGCTTAAATGGTTGAGCAACATCCCATGCACCAAGAGGTCACCAGTTTGATTCTGGGTCAGGGCACATGCCAGGGTTGTGGGCTCCATCCACAGTAGGGGGAGAGGCGCACCCAATCAATGTTATGCTTTCACATCGATGTTTCCTTCTCTCTCTCCTTTCCCTTCCTCTCTTTCTAAAATCAATTTTTTAAAAAGAAATAGTGGTGTTATAGGAGACAATAACAGAGTAAGAGAATAGGGAAGGAATTGCAAGAAAAGCCAGGGAAACTGGCAGGCAGCAGATTTCGCCAGATCCTGGAAGGTGTGGAATGGTGTTTACATTTTATTCTAAGTGCACAGGAAAGCCACTGGAATATTTTTAAGCAATGCATATCATGATTTGATTTATATTTTCACAAGAACACTAGCAGGGTGGCAGCAATGGTGGCAGGAAGGCCATTGAAGAGTGCACTGCAGCAATCCAGACTAGAAATGACATAGTTCACTGTGGATACTCACAGTGGAGATGGAGAAGAGTGAAAGGATTCAAAAAATATTTTTAAACAAGACTCAATCCTTTCTGCCCTCAAGAAGTTCACACTCTGTTGGGAAGACAGACATGCAAATAAATAATATAGCAAATAATAACTTGGATGAAAATGAAAAATGGAACAGATGGAGCATAGCACGGAGCATGGAAGACTTCCTGGGGAGCCAAGGTGCTCACAGTTGCGTTGAAGCTGGGGATTCAAACATTAGTAAAGTGCTGGTGGTCCTTCCAGCAGAGGTGGCCATGGGTGTGGCAGCCGTGATTATGTGCTGCACAGACCTCCACCTGCAGAGGCCTTCACTGACCAAGAACCAAACAGGACATCTATACCATCCTGTCTGTACCTCTTCCATTGTGTTCATCACTTTTTATATAGAAATCTGTTTGCATGACTGTTTTTCTCCCTGGATTTCAATCTCCTGGAAGACAGTTTCTGTATTGCTTACTGTGGCAATAAATATTTTTTTATAAGTAAAAGTTTTCTCTAATAATAGCACCACTGATCATGTCTTCATTTTCCAGCCCTTTTTATTTCCTTCACATTGTGCCATAATTTCAAAGGTGTTGCCTTCATGTGTACTCTCTCCACTATGTTCTTGAGGGTAAATCTCCTGTTCCCTCCTTTTGTGCCTTTTCATGGGTCATGTATTGATCTACATACTCAAAGGGTCACCCAAGAATACTGACTGAAATGAGTATTTTAATCACATGCAGTAGTCAATTACTAACTAATGAACTTTTATTCCTTTGTTGGTTACCAGGATGAAGTGACTTTACCTGCTGCTGAAGGGTTTCATCTGCTTACTGTCTCCCAGCATGTCTACTAAAAGTAGTCAGTCATCAGGAGAGTCATCACCTCTCCTTCCCACCACTTTCCAACAACCCACACAGATCTTCTCTTCAGAGGAAGAGTATACCAAGGGAGAGGAGAAGAGTTCAAAGGAAGACTCTCCATTTCTTGAAGAAAATGAGTATCTGGAAGAGAATGAGTATCTGGAGAAGAATGAGTATCTGGAGAAGGAAAAGTATCCACAGGAAGATGACTATCTGGAGAAGGAAAAGCATCGGAAAGGAAAGAAGGATCTGAATGAACGGGAGTCTCTGAAGGGGAAAAAGCATCTACAGAAGGAAAAAAATTATTTGTATGAAGAAGGCTATCTAGAAAAGGGTGAGTATCTGGAGGAGGGTCTCCCAAAGTGCTCAGGAAAAAAAGAAGAAATTTGAAATCTAGCCAAAGTTCAAATTATCAACCTACCCATGGAATGAACAGGTAGGAAGACTCATTACTAAGTGCTATTCACAGCTTCACTAGCCATGCCCTGAAGCACCATGTCAACAGAGCAGGCAGGGAGACTTGATGAATGTAAAGCACCTGTTCATAAAAAAAAAAAAAGAACCCATGATTTTTACCTTTTTTTTTCCTTTTTGCTCAAGTAATACATGTTCATTGTGGATGTTTGAGAAATTATATATAAGCAAAAAATAGCAAAGATCTCTACCATCCAGAGATGATCATTTCTTTCACACTTTGGTTATATCCTCCCCAGACTTTATATAGTGTTTGTAACCTGCCTTTTAAGGTACATTTTTAATATACTTATAATTATAAATAAATATTACATACTTATATGAATATCATTTCATTTATTATCTAAAAATTGTTGTAATTGCCTCATTGCATTGTATTATATAATACAACTGTATAATACAAATCATACTTTTTAAAAAATCTTTTATTGATCTTTAGAGAGAAGAAGGGAAAGGGAGAGAAAGAGAAACATCAATATGAGAGTGAAACATCAATCTGTTTCCCCACATGTGCCCTGACTGGGGATTGAACCCACAACCTGGGTATGTGCCCTGGCCGGAATGAAACCCGTGATCTTTCGGGACAATGCTCCAACCAAATGAGCCACACCAATCAGGGCAAACCATAATATTTTTAATTGATCCTTTATTATTGATTATTCATTGCTTCTGACTTTTTGCTACTTTTTTAAACAGCACTTTGATAGCCTAATTTTACCAATGACCTCTAATTATTTCCTAGAATGCATTCCCACAACCTGTTGCTAAGTCAACAGATACTAGTATGCTTCTTAGGGTGCCTATTGGGCCCTGGGAAGGTATCTTACCCTGCTGGTGAGTATTTAACTTTGGAGTTATTTCTCTCATACTAGGGCCGACATTTCTCCAATGCTGTTTCTGCAATTGGCAACTTTTGCTTAAGTTGGGTTTTGTTATCTGACAGTGGTCTCCTCGTGCTTTTGTTAGAAGTGGTTGATGTGCATTCACCCATAGCCCACATGGTGTCTTCCCTTGATATCATGACTGCATGGCCATATCCAACTAGGTATGGGAAGTTTAAAAATCCAGGTCATGTGCAGCATCTTAATGTTGACCTAGAAGTAGAACTAAACTATTTTTCTGGATCCAGTTCTGCTACCAACTACAAGCATCTCAAGCAGCTTGAATTTTAAATCTCCATCTGATTATATACAACCTATATCCTAAAGACCTGGTGTTCTCAGCAGCCAACCGGCATTTCACCTTTATGTCCCTCTTGATCAAATCAGATGTATTAACCTTGGTTCCTACTACCCTCATGGATGCTTAGTTGGGACATGGAAGAGATAATTTCTCTATTGCTGGGAAGCCCTTTTTTTTCTGTGTGCCTCTACCATTAAGCTCCTTCTCAGAATCCTAATATCCCTGCTATTCGAGTACCAAGTAAGTATAGTTCTAATACTGAAAAATAGCATTCAAGCCCTTTCTTTTGCACAGTATGAATCAAGCATTCTTAATAAGTCTCCTCCGTGCACTGGACCTTTGTGAATAAATACTCACTGGAGTAGAACAAATACAATGCTGTGACGCACCGCTGTGTGTAAAGCCTGGGCAGTGGGCACACGATGCAGGGTGCAGACGATGTCTTACTGAGTTGTACACTTGAAACCTGGGTGGTTTTTCAAACCAATGTCACCCCAATAAATTCAACTTAAAGAAAGAAAAATGAAAATAAATGCCTTGCTAAAAAAAAAAAATGAGAGAGGCACCTAAAACACTGTAGGGGAATGCTAAAATGCCTTTAAAGGCACATGGCAGAATGTCTTGATCTATGAAAACTCTGTACAAGAGGTTTACAAGAAGATTCTTAACCTTTCAAAAGGATTTACATCAAAATTTATGTGGAATAGTGTCCTCTTTAAGACATAACTTTGTTTATCCTTTGTTTTAAGCCTCAGTGCATAACAAGAGTGCCTTCCTGATCCATATAGCAGATGTTCAGTAAATGCAAATTGAATCAAGTTCAATTTCATTCATTTCATAAAGTCAAGCATATGTATACACACACACATTTATTTTTAAAACAACTTTGTGAATTAATTAGAGCCCATAAAATGAGCCCTAGAGATGACAAATGGGCTTCCATCTCTCATGCTGATGGATTAGTTACTTGAGGTTTAACATGGTGGAGCACTATGTTAAGAAGGATTCTGAGTCTCCACTTGGATTCAGCAGGAAAGAGTGCCATGATCAACTAGCCAAAAAAGCAGGTGCGAGGGGAGGAGGACAAGTGTCATTTATTTGTCATTTGGTGACAGATATTAATAAGCCTGTCACAAAGAGCTGTTTTCTTCCTCTCTCGGGGGCTTTACTGTCCAGGTTCTAATGCCAACTCTCTTCCACTTATTCATTGCACAAGCTTGGGAAAGTCACTTAACCTCTCTGTGTTTTGGTTTTCTTAACTATAATTAGGAAAAACAATTGACCTACCTTACGGGATGTTTGTGAGAATGAAAGGAGTTAAATTATGTAAAACATTATGAGCAATGCCAAGCACATAGCATTTGAAGCCTCTTTAATTGTAAGCCATTTGTTATTTTATTATTATTATTATTATTATTATTATTA